AAATAAAATGTGAAAATATATGCATTACTGTCAGTTTGTGAAAACAGAAAGGAAGTACTGCACCTACCATTTTCTACATGTGTCCAGAAGCATTACACTCAGTGCAGTCTGTTTCTCCTGCATACTGCGCATGACTCTCTGCACACAGACACAGTTTTCAGGTCGGTACGGTTGTGGGGCATCAACAGCTACCAAGTAATTCCTCCCAGCATGCTCATATCCATGACCCGCATAGTAGAAAAGGCCTGTTGAGAGTGATCAAATATACATCTAATTACAGCGGCAAGACCACAAAAAATGTAATCATCATATTTTCCACCTAACATGAAAAAGTTATCTGATTTCAGTGCAGTATGATATGTTTGCTTCAGTCTTTATTTCGTTATTAGCCAGAGAAAGTAGAGAATAGTAACACACAGTATCATTCTGACAAAGCAGTTCTCTTATCCTTATTTTGTTTGATCATAAACATACTTTCATATTACAGCTCTCATTTCATTACTGGGTGTACAGTTCCCCTTAACAATATGACTTATGCAGCTGTGTGCTTTAGTTATTAATAGCTCCAATTTTTCATACGATGAGGGGCCACCTTTCTTTTTTGTTTAACACCGTGGATGTGATACACAGAGAATGTATTTGCCTGATTGTGAATGACCCTCTCTCAAAGTGCTTCAGGCATAGAGGAAGTGCCATATTTAGCATATGCTGTTACAAATGCCTATGCTTATTTTTAACCTTATCTGCTCATTCAACCACGAATACATGTAAAGTAAGATATTGGTACTGTAAACCAAGCGTGACCCATGACGCATGGACAACAAAAGATAATAGCCACAGAACAAACCAGAATAAGTTACAATGTTATATCTCAGATCCAACAAAACAGTTTTTTTTTGTTGCAGAATTTGTCCAAGGTTAAATCATGAAACAACAGAAATATGTAGCTAATTTAGAAACAATTGTATGTAGAGACAAATTATAATCACCATAAACTCCTCTGTCAAGGAGCTGAATGAACTTTTCTATTGCGGCTAGCATCTCCTCTCTGGTGAGGTCCAGCAGGGAAACCACTCTGAAGCCAAGCTGCTGCAGGAGGTTGGCCAGCTGATGCACATCCATGATGGGGGCCATCAAGGCCGGGTGGTGGGAGTAATTCAGGTTGCCAATAAGGAGGGCAACTTTATCAGTGGCTGCAACAAAGATATAAGTTACATTCTAATTAAAGCAAAGCAACCTAATTCTCATACATACTGTGATTGTTTTCTATTAAAGCACACTAAAACTAGCGAGGATTGACACCAAGTTTCTTTCGTTATGCGTACCTGTGGTTGCTGGAGTAGGAAGCAGATCCGTTTGCACTAAAGAAGTGTGAAAAAGAGAAGCACAAATCAGTTTCTTCAAACAAAGATCTGATCTTAAGTACTATCATTTTATCAAGAGTGTACAGAAAGGGTATTTTAAAAAAAAGAATTGGACGATATTTTGTGATCCATACTCTACACGCCACAACATAAGTCACAAACAGGAAAAACACTGCAAGAGCTAGTTTCACTTTACACCTCTTTCCTGTTGTGTGTCTAAGGCTCGGATTATGCACTATTTTAAGTCCTACTTCCTTTTTTGTCTGTAGAAATGGGAAAGTACCTGCTGCATAATGGAAATAACTTCTAAGTACTAAATTAATGGAATGGAAGGAATGTTTTCTTCACAGTCTTTTCATGAGAACTGGAGGAAGTAAAGTAAAAAAGAAAGACTTTAAACTGTGCATAAAAGTTATGACTTACCAATGCCAACATCCACTGGTTCAGTCCATGTCTCTTGTAGTATGTTAGATATGCAGCACAAGTATGATCCTTCATGTTCGGCTGTTGCATTGTCAATCTGCAGGTATTACAAAAGATTATATTCCTATCATTGTTTGTCTTTGGCAAAAATGTCACCAAAGTGCAGTGATTCATACCCAGTGAAATGAACCAGTAAATACAGAACAGTGTAAACAATCACTGTCAGCACTGAGCTAAGTAAACACTCCGTTCTTACCTGTAGCGTGCCAGTAGTCTTATCCTGCAGCGGCTGTCCATTTCTGTACCACTGATAGTGTGGAGTGGGGATGCCAAAGGCAGCGCAGTGGAGAGTGAGTTTTTTACCTTGTCGGACTGTCTGGGGTTTAGGGCTCTCAGCGATGTGTGGCTCGCCTTGCCAGTGAATGGACAACCCTGATAGAATAAGATAAAAGCAATATACTTAAAACCTATTTACTGCCAACACCCAAGGGCTATGTTGAAGTAAGCAAAATAACGGAAAAAGCAGTACACTACTACAATATAAATTAACATGACAATGCATACCTGATTTATCAATGTCCAACGCCTTCACTTTCACCCAGTCGCTGAACACGCAGTTACAGAAGTTGTCACTAACTCGGCAGATGTAGAGCTGAGATTTTTTAGCTTGTATGGTCAAGTCTTCTGTATTGCCCGCAAACACCTGGAAGTGAAAAGGGAAATTATCATTGTATTATAATTATCAGTACAATAATGTGTTCATCACTTTAATGTTGCAGCTGATAAAGGTGGAGCTTATCATTTTACTGTAAAACAGCTGAGTAGCTAGTGAATTTAACTTATAATAATACAACTATTTGTTGATTATATCTTGTATTATAAATCTGAATCTCAAAATTGCCTAAAGTTATCAAATAAGTTAAGCCTACTGGTGTAAAAAGTTTAAAATGTATAAGAAGCATAAAGTGGTATCTTTGGAAGTTTTTCCTTGTCTGTTGTGAGGGTCCAAGGACAAAGGGTGTCCTTTTCATATTCTGTATAAACTGAATAGTCGACTGAGACACACATGTGTGATATTGGGCTATATGAATAAACCTTGATTGATTGATTGATTGATTGATTGATTGATTGATTGATGGTATAACAAAATAAATACTCCATACACACAGATCTTATTTGCACATTACATTTACATTAACAAACGCTATTTAACACGCTTGAGTATGGTTGTAAAACCTTAAAAGGAACGTCATAACCCATACACACAAGCACAGATGAAGAAGACTACGTACCTCTTCATCGTCTTCAGTGAACCACTGGTAATGCAGGATTCCTTTGCCCTCAGCACGGACTCTTAGGGTCACCGTATGGTCCGCAGGTACACACACAGAGAAAGGGTGCCGCACTATGAACAGTTCTGTAACAAATCAAGGGAAAATCTCATTAACATGAAATCCAACTGTGTTGTCAATATTATTTTTTTAAAAGTCACACCATTGCTGTGGTAAAAACACAACATACCGCTGATCATTATTCGACGGGATTTGGTACGGGATCCAGTCATCAGTGCATTTTCTTCTTCTTATAACAGACTGTGGGAAGTTGAGTCACAGTTTAAATTGAGTTAGTTAGCCTATACCGCTCCCAGATCGAAAAACGGCGAAATCACAAGAATATAAGGAAACGGCTTTAAAAGAGAAGTTATAGGGGCATTAAAAGTCTAGCATCAGCCCATTACTTCTCTTTTCTATCGCAATTAGCAACACCGTATCAGATAGAAATGTCCATAATCAACCAATAAGGATGTAAGTGTAGCTATACCTGCTGTAGCCATGTACCAGTGGGTCAGCTGTCAGTAAGTGTATGTTTTCCTGCCGTGAAACTTCATAACTTCACGTACAGCTAAAAAAAATAACTTCCCTTTACCGGAACGAGACAGCATGCACACATATTACCGACAAGCCTATAATACCGGGGCATCTCAAAGAACATGACATGTCTGTCACCTTTGTTTTACTGACAAAATGTGGATTTATTTTGTTTTGAAAATGAATATGTGCTTTTAGTTGAAAATATTTGAAGCAGACAAACTCTACGCCGGTTAAATCGATGGGAATCATTTCAGGGGATATACGTGTGGAGACACTTTTATAGACTTTACGGTAACAAAAAATCTGGCCCCTTTTCAGGTGTTGTAAAATGACAGAGATTAAGTTTAGGAACATACTGGACACTCACAATGTTTTTCACTGAGATAGAGAAAATATGGACTGATCTTTACAATTTTTTAACGCATCTAAATTAAATATATTCAAATAGTATGCCAACTAATGTTTGTACATTTATTGTAATTGTTGTATAATGAATTACTATATTCTGTATAATATGCTGATATTATGATAAGCATCTCCTTTACAACTATTGTATTTGGCCTTTTCGCATAAGTCTGTTAGGTTTAAATATAATATATGTAATAATATGTTTGCCTACTTGAGTTAGGTTTTTTATTTTTAGTTTGTTAAAGCATTTGTATTTCCTTTTATCAGGAACATCTTAAATCTCGTTTTCAAGTGTGTCTTAGCCAAGATAGAATAGTGAGTTGAAAAACAATATTAGATACAAATATAATTATACAATTATAAATACAATTTGCATCCAATTGTATAATAGGTTTCATCAATAACAAATTCAATATTAAGTAAAGCAACTCAAAATATGTCAAAAACAATAAAAACACTATACAGTAACTAACACAACAAATGGCTATACATTGTTAAATACAATTATGTAATTTGTCAGCTGACCCTGTTTTTCTCAAATTGATATGAAACATGAGCAGCAGGTCTCCATGTTTTGACCATGTGTTGCAATACAAGGTGAGGGGTGCTGTCCTTATGCAACTCTTGGGCAAAGCAGGACATAGAGCATTTGTTTCCACAAGCTACCAACACAGACATGTTTTGTAAGTCCAAATCCACTGCAGTGTCTCAAGATGGGACACCCTTTTTCCAACCTAATTCGATTGATCAAAACAAAGCAGGGAAAATGTATTGCACAACCCTTGTTGATATAACATTTTTGGGGTATTTGCTCATGGTCTAAATGGTTAGCTTTTACTTTAATTTCAGTTTTTAGACTTCTGTCTATAGTCTAGTTTTGGAAAAACGTATGTGCTCTTGCGACTATTTGTAGGGTTGCTATAAATAGGGCCCTGCTGGCAACACATGCGTCTATGATAGGCAGTTACAGAGACTTTCTTCACAGACTGTGGCTCCAAAGCAACATTGACAACATCTAATGGTAAGTTGGACATTTTACCTAGCTTTGGGGTGACTAAGAAACACCTGAATTGTATTCCTAACACGTACAAGTCAATACCATGTCTTTGGTTTGTGATTGACCACTTACAGCCCTTCCATAGTCTGATAGCCGGTCCTATTTATAACTTGCTCCATTGCAGTACTTTGCTTGGTCAGAAAGGACAGGCATTGAGTCTGAACGGTGTGTTTGATGAGCAAATGAACCTCTTACTATATTTCATTAACTTCCAAGAGATTCTGGTACCATTCTGAACAGTATCTTTTTCTTCTTCTCCAGGGGCTTCCACATGGATAACACCATTACATTTGTGCCTTGAACACAGACAAAACTTGGACGTGAACGCAGATCAGTTCTGTGGTACTGTGGGTGATACATTTCCCTCGGATTTTGCACTTTTGCTTCAGTGGACGATGACTTCCAGAAGACCAATGGCCCGCTCTGTCTCTGGCAATGGGAGGACAAGCAGCTTCAGTGAAGAGGAGGGCAGCTCTTCCAATGGCCGCTCGGAAAGCCGCAATCCTTACCTCTCGAACGTTAGGCCTGAAAACAGGTAGACAGCCTCATCTATAATCTATATGATATGTGTTTCTGTTTTAAACCCATGAGAATAGAAGTGCTCCTTTTGTTAAAGAAGAGGGACATTATTAAACTATTTCATGTAGGTGGGTTATACACAGAACTCAAGCACTGACATCCTTTCATTTGCCTTCTCTCTGAATAGCTATTCAAGGTATTCTCACTACAGGTCACCGAGGTAATCTTTACTTTAAAAACATTCCTCCCAACTAACATCTTAACCACAAAAAACGGTTTACCCCAAGAATGAAACCTACACACGTTTGAACTGTAATGTAAGTGTCCGGTTTGTCCAGTGTTGCGTTGATAAACATCGTTCTAAATGTTGGATTGACAACCAATGTTTGCTTGACCTCTCACAAGTCTTTGTCACTCCTTTACATTCTCGTCACTACCAGAAATCTCCATTAACATCCTTTTTTCCCTAATTAAGCAAGTTATTGGAATGTACTGCACAGAGGTGAAGACGTCCCTGGTATAATGCTGAAGTGTCAAAACTGTCTATGATTTAAAAGCAATACATTGACTCTAATGCATTAGTGTTTGCTTCCAGGAGCACTTTGTGCAGCGTCATGGCTCAACTGACCGAGGACATACAGCCGTCCTTTGAGTCCACCTTGAAATCGAAGGCAGTTTCAGAAAACTGCAATGTGAAGTTTTCCTGTGTGGTATCAGGTACGTGTGCGTTCACTTGCATGGCTTAGTGTGGGATTTGTTGGAGTAACGGAAGCATTTCTGTATGTTCACTAAGAAAGGGTTTACTGTTGATTGCAGAAAATAACTGTTTTATTCTTCCTGAACGGCTCTTTAAACACAACAGCCAATATCATCTTCAAGCTTTTTCTTCCGGATGTTGTGTTTTTAGCTTCAGGCAGATACTGTAGGATAAGTGGGCCTGTATAACAGCAGCAGCTGTTCCTGCAGTTGACACATCATAAACATGATTCATAGCCTAAAAACATGTCCGTGCCAAAACATGTCCGTGCCAAAGCTATACTGTATGTTTACTACCCATGTCTTTAGGTTACCCAGCTCCAGAACTGAAATGGTATAAGGATGATATGGAAATGGACCGGTACTGTGGACTCCCAAAATATGAAATTCATCGTAATGGAAAAACCCACACCCTCCATATTTACAAGTATGTAACGTGACCTTGTAAATTATTATAAATTCAGCTTCTCATTTGTTTACTTATTTGTTTAATTGTTACATCGTTGGCTTACCTATACTATGAGATTGATAAATGTGTCTGTTTTCAGAAGCACATTGGATGATGCAGCCATCTACCAGGTTTCAGCTAGCAATAGCAAAGGTATTGTCTCCTGCTCGGGAGTTTTGGAGGTCGGCACCATGAATGAGTACAAGATCCACCAGAGGTTCTTTGACAAGCTGAAACAGAAAGCAGAAAAGAAGAAGAGCGAACTAGAGGGAAACACTAAGAAGGGGGGTAAAGAAAACGTTGAGAAAGAGAGACCGCAAATTAGCCCCGAGCGTCCTCCAAGGAAGAGGCATGTCCCCCCACTGGAGAGGAGACCGGCGGTCAAGGAGCCTGAGGCTGAGGAACAACTGGGAGCTGCTGCAGAACCTAATGGACCTGTGGCATCCCAAGTCCTGGAGAAGAAGATATCTCCACCTGAGGAAACCTTGGCCAAAAAGAAAACAAAGATCACAAATGGTGTAGATGCTGAGGTCAGCAAAAGCAGCTGCAGCAGAACCACCAATATGATGGGTATTGGAGGAGAAAACTGTTATGATGGAGGAATTGGTTTGGCACAATTCCTGTCAGAGACTCTCCAGGCCACAGAGGAGAAAGAGAACTCATCCAAAGGGGAAACCCCTGAAGAGATGGATATACCTATTGTAAGTGTCAGTAAAGAGAGCGAGCAAGAGATGATGCAAACATTGAGGGAAAAACAAGAAAAAGAGGAAGATTATGTAAGGGAGAAAAATAGAGCGGCTGAACTGGCCACAGAGAGGGACAAAGAAAGGGCAAGACAGTTGGAGATGTCGCATACACTACCAAACACAAAACATGGTTCACATGCCAGACATCACAACAAGGCTCATAAGGATCAGGACCATCACAACATGCAGGCTTCCTTAACCTCTGTTCTTCACTCAGTCAAAGATTTCTTCTTTGGTAAGACCAAAAAGGACTCTCATGATCACATTGAGAACAAGGAAGGGGAGCTCAACCCTTCTCCTGTTTCAACGCCACCATCATTTCGGTTGCAAACAGGGCAGAACCAAGTGGGCAAGTCTCTCCAAGAGGACGTTGTGCCTATGGAAATGGATCAACCAAAGGAGCCTTCTAAATCTGTGGATATAGAACAACAGTCAGCGTCACTGAAGCCACATGAACATAAGCATGAAGACAGTGTCCAACACACAGTCCATCCACCAGAACATAAGATACCAACTGAGAGCATAGACCAGCCCAGGCGGGAGAGTGTGAACGCAGAGGACAGTCCTGTGGAGGTCATGGAGGTCTCTGTGGGGCCAGAGATCATTGGTCCAGGTGGAGAAATGTCATTATCGGGGCTTCAAGTTCTCACTGAGGTACGTACAGAGGTCTTGGAGGACAGCTGGCTGCCACTTGAGTGTTATATATAGGCTGCATTTGTGTGACAAGATAAAACAAGATAAGCTACTTCAGGGCTGAACCCTGAACTATGTCAACTATGACACAGTTTAGGATTTGAACTGCTGCTAGTTGAAAATGTGGTTGATAAGAAGCATATGATGACTTATTGTTATGTTATATTCGTGGGTAAATGTGAGACAGTCAGGAAATGCAGCTGCTATGAATCATGTGGTTGAACATCATCAGTGTTCAACCACAGGGGGAGTGAGTCGTACTGTGAGGCTGTGGTTTTACTGCATCTATATCACTGAAGAGTGACAAGCCCAACAAGATAGTGTGTGAGAAATAGGGAACTATAAGAACCGAGCAACTTGCACTGGATATGTTTGTGGGTGGGGGATGTTGTGGATTTATATTACACACTGTAAGTTAGGATAGCGAATATCTTAATATGTTGGCTGCAATGAGTGGGACAGGAGTGCGTCAGAGATCATGATGAAACTGAATGTCAGAAGGGGTTCTCACGTTTCAAACAGGCCTTTGCATGACAGAGGGTCTGGCTGAGTGGGAGCCGAGCGGCAGGTCTCTGCATGAAAGAGGGACCTCGTCACATTGGACACATTCCTCACCGCCGCCCCGTAGTTTAAAATAAACCTCTTCCTCGTCTACAGAAGAGGCAAGAAGGCAGCACTTCTGTCATCTCGGGGGTCAGCTTAAATAATTGTTTCATGAATGTCATGTGTGACGGTCATGCTATGATTAACACCCATACAGTAAGAATACTGAATGGGGTACTTTCCACTTTTGCATTACATTGATCTAGTTCAGTTTAATCTTAATCTGCTAATACATGACCAGATCTTCCCAGATTTTAAACAAAGATATGCAAAAAAAGCTTCTCAGATTTTACCTGAAACCATTAGAGGACCTTTTGAACAATCTCTGTTGATCCTAGAGGGACACTAGCTTTTGAAAAGCAGTTGCCAACATACAATAGCTTTTGTTGTACATACATGATAAATCATTCAAATGTATTACATTTTCCTTATTGCAGAATAAGAAAGTTATGAAGAAATGTTTTATTATGATTATTTATAAATGTTCCTTTGGTTATTTAAATCCATCAAATCAAAACGTTCCTTAAAGTTAGATTTTTGTATTACTGATGTTTGTATGTAAAGGTATTCGGAGTTAACCTACAGTATTGCTTTGTACCGTGAACCAGCAGATGAATGGAATAGGACATTCACATAAAATGTTGTCGTGCACAATGACATGTGGAAGAGGAAACAGAAGTCTAAGTTTAAACGTTGTGAATCTTTTCACGTTTGTTCGTGATTTGGAACAACAATGGTAAATTTCTAGGACGGCCGCATTTACTATCTGACGTCATGGATGTATGAGGAAGTCAAGCGCTTTGTCTGAACAGTGTTTTTTCTCACATTGGTGGGACATAATGTTTACACACGGAGGTGTGCTTCATTTTTAGACTGAATATGACACCATTTCCCTTCCATCGAAAGCAGCAACTTCTTTTTTTGTTAGTTCTGTCTGCTGGCCAAACATCTTGTCACGTGGCGCAGGTGGCTTCATTACTCTTCTGCATTTATTGTAATGGTATGAACAGCAAAAAAAGGGGCAGTAAGGGGAAAAACAAAACTACAGCTTGAAGCTTTATTCATAAATCTTCTCTTAATGCTATCCACACTTAAAGAAGTATGTTAAGTTTAATTGGTTACCTCAACAGCTTGATGATGACAACAGATATATAGATCATGCATGTTATGACATGTCTTTTGTCAAGATACTTGACAAGCAAGTTATTTGTGTAAACACCACATTGGTGCCAATCATGTGGGAATTTCTCTGTGCGTGTTTCAACATGGAAGACAAAGCACAGAAACACTTTCAAGCTCAGTGTAATTGTTTTATTCAAAGACATAACATTTTTACATCATATAAAAATCAATAATTGAAAGTTAGAATACATTTTCAGCTAAATTCAGACAACTTTTAACTAAAGAAATATCATCCCTAATTGTTAAAAAACATTGTATTGGATCCTTGTATACTTAAACACTTGGTTTCAGCCATCTTGCACGTGACATGAGGTAAAGAAGGGTCTAATAATAAACTGACATGTCATACAAGACAAGAACATCTTGACTTAACTGGAGTTGTTCCGCATTTTTTGTTGAACAATTTATCGTTTACCTATCAACTTGTAATGAATCAACTGATTCACACACTGATCTCCCTGTTCTTCTCCTCTGTTGGGGAACGTAACTCTTCATTGCAATATCATGTTTGCCAGAATATTTCACTGTTAATGCTTTTGTTAATTTATGGTAGAGAAACATTTCTCAGTCTAAAAGTGTCACAGTGTCAAAGGTCACTGCAGTAAGTCTTCTTTAACAAGCATCTTAAAAATACCTATCACTTTTTTTCAGTAGGTTGTGTGGTCTCTATGCCACTAACAAATGTTACATGCATGCATAGGCAGTACCAGCAGTGTGAGGCATGTGTGTTTCATTGAGTTCATTCCAACAGAGAAACACTGCCATAGCTGCAAATGCCCTGAAGTACTAAAATGATTTTTTGTTTCCTTTGTCAGGCTGAAGAAAAATATTCTCAGATAGTATCAGCTATCAAAGAGGACTTCGTTCACCAGCAGGAGCCAGATCACCTGGTAGTTTCACCTCAACCGTATCAACGTGCTTCAAGAGAAGAGTCCTCACTTAGGGATAAACCAACTCTTTTGCTACAGACCCACGGCCCTTACGAACAGGAACGTTCGCCCGTTCCCCCTGTCAACGTTATCTCAGAGTCAAACAGCAAATGCCTTGGAGAAGCATCCTGTGAAACGTTACAGGAACAGAAGATAAGCAGTGCAAAGATGGCTACAGAACCTGACACAGGGGAGTGCCCTTCCTCCAATAAGTCATGTGAGGATGAGAAAACTGAAGTGAAATCAAACAAACAGCCTTGCTTGGATATAAACAGATCTGAGATTACCAAATTAAGAACAGGTTCACTGGAAGAGAGAATAGAGCCATGTCAATTTGACTCACCAGGTCAGGTGCTTTCACCTCTCCCTGCTGTGGCTACAGACAGTGTAGAGAAAGATAATGTTAAAGAACAGACAGAATGTACTTCACTTATTCAGGAAATGAATGTAGGCTTTCCGATTACTGTAGCCCCAGAGAGTTTAGAAAAGGTTGACCTAAATATGCAGCAAGAATGCACTTCTTCTGTAGTAGAGGAGAGCACTAAAATCCACAATGTCAGTGCAATACAGAGTTTAAACACAGGTTTGAGAAGCAGTGAAGAGGAAAGCAAATTGAAAGAGTTATTGATTTCTGCTTTAGATTCAGAAGTGAAGTCTTGTAACGATCTTAGAACCCAAGAGGTGGAGGCAATTTTAGAAAGTGAGAGCACTGAAGCAATGAATGAGTGTGTAAAGTTAGAAGTAAAGACTGAAAAGATAAAACCAGTGAAAGCAGATGAGTTTGATGAATCAAAGAGCCTTTTATTAACAGAAAACAAGAAACACAGGATTGATTCACATCAAAATGGCTGTGTGATTAAGCAGGGCCAGCCTTCACTGAAGATCCCAGAGATCAAAATATCTAGTATTGAAGACATCCCAGATATAAATCCAACTGTGGCAGGCGTAAACCCAATGGAACATTTTGTAATTCCAATAATTGAAATAATCGAGCCTGAGCTCAAAGAGCCCACTCTTCCACTAACTATTCTGGCACCAAACAAGGACGAATCAGAGCCTCCTACTTTGCAAAAACATGATACAACTCATGTGTGTGAGGTAATAGAGCAGCATTTGGATAATTTTCCAAGTTTGCTGCCCACACACAAAAGTATGCAGAATGACAGCAACCTCTCCCCTACAGATGTAATAAAGGAAGTTGCGCAATTAGATGACAAGAGAAATATTTTTGAGCTGGAGCCAGCACACAAGAAGAGCAGGGAACAGCTCCCCCAGATGAATCATGCATCAATTCCTGTTATAAGTGTTTCATGCACTGATGATAAGGAGGATAAGGTATGTGTAAAGGCACGGCAGACTGATGATACTCCAACAGTGCCTTTGTTTGTGGTGCCGCCAATATCCATCACTTGTCATGAAAGTGATTCTGGACTCACACTGCCAACTCAAAGTGAGTGGACAGAAACAGAAACTTCAGCTGCTCCGCAAAGGGGAACCAAGCAGGATGCTGATAATGAGAATAATACAACTGCGGCCGGAAAAACTCAAAGTGGCAAGCAGAAGCAAGTAAAAACTTCAGAAAAGGGTATTAAAGAACACACTATGCTATATGAAGCTCTGATTCCAAAAGTTGGTGACAATGTGCTTTCCTTCAATAACGTAGCCAAAGACAACATTTTACCTGAAGTCTTGAAGGTAAAAAAAGAGGCAAAGATAGAGAATACTGTGTCTGTAGAGGACCTCCAAAGAAACAGACCATCTGTTGAGAGACTCTGCTTTAAACCCCCACCACACCCATCATTGAGTCCAGCCAGTCTTCGCAAATTCATGTCCAGAGCTTCTCAAGACTCAGACATATTTACTAATGACAAAACAGATGAAGATTTAAGTGGAGGCTCAACACCCACATCCTCCCTGTCCTGTGAGAGCAGTCCCCGTCTGAAGCGCAGAGACAGTCTGACACTCATACGCTCCGCCACGCCTGAGGAGCTGGCCTCCGGAGCTCGTCGCAAGATATTCATGTCGAAACCTAAAGAAGATGGAGAGGGAGCAGTGGTAGGTGCCTTGGATACTCTAAGCAAGAAGGAGAGCCCTTACATGTCACCCAGCCAGGCGCGCAGAGCAGCATTACTACAAGCTCCCACTGGACAAAACACCCCACCAATGGAGAGGCGCTCTCCTCTGCTGAGCCGCAGGAAGGCCACCTTGGAGGTGCCAAAGGTTGTGGAGCAGACTCCCACTGTGGAGCCAGTGAGCACCAAACCAGAGGAGAAACCTGCTGAAAATAAGCTAGACCCTTTGAAAGGTAAAGAATACATCAGTGCTTACAGATGAAGTTTGTGAATATGTTATTATGTGTATGTTTCCAATGAGAGCTGTATCAACTTGTAGGCACAATATGATATTACTGTATGTTAACACTATAACTTTTCATAATTTTACTTTATTTAAAGAAAATAGAAAAAATATTCTCAATTTGGCTCAATACTCAATTAGCAGTTCAATGCCTGTTCATTTGACTTTTTTGTCTGTTTTTTCCCAAAACATCGTAACACGAGTGGCTATGTCAAATAGTTAGTTTGTCAACACTTGAATCCGCTAGTCTAAGTACTCGAGGAAGTGGAAACATTAGAAAGTCTCCAGTAGAGTATATATTTACCTTGGGCCCCTCTCTCATACACCACCAGCTCCGCAGGTCATCCGTAAGATCCGGGGGGAGCCGTTCCCGGATGCCTCCGGACACCTGAAGCTGTGGTGCCAGTTCTTCAACGTGCTCAGTGACTCCACCATCAAGTGGTACAGAGATGAAGAGGAAATTCTAGAAGTGAAGAGAAGGTAAATCCCCTTCTTACCTTACAACAACACAACTTGAACCACCTGTAACACAAATACACAGCAGTGTCATATGGTGCTTGAGTTGTTGTATTACTTACTGCTGCTATTCTTTTGAGCATTTACAGCTGACATGTCTGGTAAAAGTGGCCAGGTTCCAAAAGTGCGACAATAATGCGTCAAGGATGAACAGGATTCATTTTGGCCTCTGAGTTCGCCCATGGCTTTCTGTCATTCTCAAATTCTCACTGCAGCTCATATGACTGAGAGCCCCACAGCTGTGACACAGATGGGTGAATCTCCGGCTAGACACAGACGCTGTAACCTGACACAATATTTTTCCCATCTCCAGGGGGCATTAAACGTCTATATATGTCCTATGGGCTGCTGTGTCAGCACAGAGTAGCCATCTATCTCACAGTGACACCTTGTGGGTTGTTGTTGAATCTTCATCTAAAATGGTTTCATGATTATGTGTTTTTCCCCTTTGTTATCCTCAAGTGGAGGAGATGAAAGCCAAGTAGCACTGGCTGTTGTTTTAGCATCCAGCCATGACTGTGGGGTATATGGCTGTACGATCAATAATGAATATGGGACTGACACCACTGACTTCCTGCTCAGCGAGGACAGTAAGATACAGTATTCCCTAACATTCTTTAGTGTGAAATCTATTTCTAATACGATATAAAAAGTGATTTTATGACTCATTCTGTATTTATTTGTTTACAGTTCTGTCTGAGATACTACTAAAAGATGACTTGGAAGGTACATTCTTTAGTTATAACATATCAGCCAACATTTTTCTGTTAATTTTGCTCAATGTAAATATGTGTTTCTGTTTTCCTTTAGTTGGAGAGGAAATCGAGATGACCCCGCTGCTGTTCAGCAAAGGCCTGGCGGACTGTGGCAGCTGGGGTGAAAAATATTTTGGCCGCATCATGACCGAGACTGCGCAGATTGGAGAGGGCTGCGCTCACAAGGCCAGCAAAGTGAAGGTCATTTATGGCCTGGATCCCGTCTTTGAGTCTGGAAGCGCATGCATCATCAAAGTTCAAAGCCCCATCGCCTATGGGAACACACAGGAGAGCAACCTGCCAGACAAAAATCTACAGATAACTAAGCAAGTGAGTTGTGGAGTTTGGTGTAAATTGCTTCCAATCATTCCTGGTGATTAGATTTTCATGACATTTATCTGCTTTATTGAATTATTTCTGTTGCTAGGAATGCAAAGTCCAAAACATGATGCGAGAATACTGTAAAATCTTTGCGGCTGAAGCAAGACTTATTGAGAACTTTGGCTTTTCACTAGAGTAAGTACCACACTTATTATACAGTAACTCTGATAATAAATTCCTATCAAAATCTAAAACATTGCTTGTGATGAACCCGCTTTTTGTGTTTCCTACAGAGTGATTCCTCAGTATCTGATGTACCGGCCTGCAAACTCTGTGCCATATGCCACATTGGAGGCTGACCTTAAAGGTGAATTCCTCAAGTACTGCAGGATGGATCCTAAAAGCAGGCTGATAACACAAACCGGCTCTGAGGTGGAGCAGAAATGCAGCACCTTCCAGCATTGGATCCATCAGTGGACACACGGCAATATGCTGGTTACTCGTCTGGAGGGTAAGGCCCACATCATGCTTACAAGTGCAATCATTTGTCTATTTATTTAAATAACAATAATAATAATAATAATAATAATAATCTTCTGTGATTTATATTTGCAGGTGTTGAAACAAAGATAACAAATGTTGGAGTTGTGACCAAGTCAAAAGGGTTTGTATCTACACCAGGGCATGCAAATGTAAACGTAGCTTTCTATCAGAATAGCTGGAATAAAAACATTTCCCCTTTATTTCAGATACCAAGGACTAACAGAGCAGGGCTCTCCCGAGGTGTTCGAACAGTTCCTGACACACCATCAGTGCAACTACTACTGTGGACTTCTCGGCCTACGCTCACTGAAGTCTATTGACAGTCAACCCACCAAGATAAAGGGCTCCAGGAGCCCCCTGCTCAACCGCAAGCTGGGATCTAACAGCCCACAGCTGCAGAGGAAAGGACAAAGCCCTCAGACGTCCCGAAAGGCTAGCCCAAAGGTGACTAGAAGAGTCCAGGAGACAGAGGATAATAAATCAGGCGCAAAGCCCAAGCCTGCAGTAACTGTTGATGTTCTTGAAGTGAGGTAGGGAAGATGTGCCTCTTCTGTGTCAAGCAAGATTTGATTGTTTTAAATGGTTCGGTATTACATTTTCTTTCCAGTAACGAAAAACCAGCAAGGACAAGGAAAGAGTGAGACTAAAAAGGAGTTGGCCGGACTTGTCATTGAGATTGCTGTGAATTTCTCAGCTTTCATTACAATTATATTACATCTATCCTCCAGCTACTGGCTGTAGTTGAAAGGTTGGTAAGAATGTCAACAGCTAAAGCATTGTATTAACTTTAACAGAAGCAAAAGAAACACTCGGTCAGAGCAGAGATGACGTTAGCTATTGGATAGTTTGAAACACTTGCCTCAGCTCTACAAGTGGACAAATAATTCTAAAAGTAATAATACAAAAAACGTGATCATTGAAAAATTAACCTGACATACCCATAAGAGATGATGGTGTGATGTAGAGAACTATTGATAATAAAACCAACGCCACAGAGCGGGTTGAGGGTATTCATATTAATGCTGCATTTTCCTCTGTGATGTACAGTATGAGCGTAGGATATAACGTTTATTTTAGAGACTTTATTTTTGGCTTGCATTAGTAATGCCTATGCAGCATTTTTTACACAGCAAAGTTGAACTCATGCTGTGAAATGACACCTTTTTGAAGTCAAATATTTGTGTGTGCACTTTGTCTTTGGCATAACTTGTTTTGTAGTTTTTGAATACTTTTTATCTGTGTCCTCTTTGTCAATTTCAGTTCATTTAAATATATGCTGGTGAATGCAAAGCAATGAGGAGCGAGGGGCTTACCAGTCAACTCTTTAACTATGGTATGCTCATGCTCATTGACATGAAAACACACGGGTGTGTTCCCAGCAATGAGGAAAGCTGCTGAATGAGTTCCACAGAGTAATTTGGATCCGACCTATGGACTGTGGGATAAAAGCACACTGAACAAAAAGAGCAGGCTCAGCGCTTTCAGAAGCCTATTAATCACTAAGTAAGGCTCCCTGAATGAAGTCTGTCAAGTTTTACAGCAACTGGCAACCACCTTCCACTGAACAAGAGAGCTGTGAGTATTTCTAGTGCAGGTATTCAAAGTTAAATAGTAACTGTAGTCACTTGCCTTTTACGAATAATAAAGACCTGACATGAAATCCTTAGGAATTCCTAAAAAAGGAATCAATGATCAATGAGAGTTTTCAAAGCTGCCGTTACTTAACATCTCTGTAATTACATGATTCTTTATCATATATAAATTATAAAAGAGGTTGGAATAAAGTTGAAACATCGACCAGTGGATGACGGGGAAATCACTGTAATGTTAAGGTGTGGTGTCGTGTTAAACAAACTGTACTGTGTTTGTGTACATAAAGTCAAAGGACTGATTATCTGAAGAGTGATTGAATGATGTCAAATCATGTCAGCAAATGTTTTTTTAAATAAAAATGTTTAAAATGAAAAACCTTGTGACATTATTTAATCACTTAATTTAATTTTAAATATTCACACTTATCAAACTGTTGATGCCTGAATATTTCACGAGGTATATTTCTTAAGGTGTCCTTTAAATCCTTTAAATAAAAATTGCATACAATTACAAAACTATACTGTACATGAAAGATACATTCATCTTGTGTCAGATTTGTGTGATACAAATAGACAACACAGGTAGAGAAGACCCGTAAATAAACAACACTGATGCATCTTTCCTCTTCTAGAAACAAACTGGCACAGAGAGGCCAAAGTACTGACAGCATTTAGAGAAAAACACAGTGGTGTTTGCTACTGCGTTCCACGGTTCTTCAAATGAGATGGTCCCGTTGTTAACAGTGCTGAAAAAAAAACAAATTTTAGATGTTAGTCCAAATGTAGATATTGACAGATATTACTTAACTTAATTGATCACAGCTATACAAATGCACATTTTAAAATCTATTAAACCTGTGTGGGCCTGATGTCTTTCCTTTACATTTTGTATTCATTCCTTCGAATAAAAATGTACTTACCTTTGAAAAAGGTCTTGGCAGCAAGTTTTTATATTTACATCGGTGGCATTGAAAGCTTCAAACAGCGTCAAACAGTCCACTGGGGTAACAACGAGGATCCCTAAGAAATAAAGTGAAAAAGCTTCTCAGTTACAGCACAACATGAAACTGCACCCCCTGTTCAATTCAATCATCTCACCTGCAACACAGGCATTGATGAGAGATACACAAGTTGCAGTGAGCATAGCTCTCAACACCATAGAGGAGATGTCACCTCTTCTGGAAGGGCATATTGAGGCTTTGAGAAAAGAAAAATCATTATTGAGAAATTATCCTGTGGCAGGAAAAAACAATGACGATGGGGTGAAAAAATACTCACACAGGCCTCCAATCATAATACCCAGCGAGCTGAAGTTGGCAAAACCACAAAGAGAATAAGTGCTGATTATTTCTGACCGGACCTGAAACAAAACAAAAATGTAATTTAAATCATGTAATTTTAATTTGCCTTTCCAAAAATAATTTCCCTATAATTTTTTTCTGTGTTAAACACACCTATACAAACTCCAACTTAGAAAATGTACTCACAGATAACCATTGTAATTCTCCTCCCACAAATTGTTCAAGCCCATTGAGTCTGTTGGTCTTCAGTGCAGCTAGTGTCTGATAAGCCACAAACTCATTGAGGAAGAGCTTTGTCCCAATGAGTTTAGCCACAGTGAAACTCTCCTTATACGGTATTCCTATCATAAAAGCCACCGGCATGAATACATAGGAGCAAATCATCTATGAGCACAGGGAGACAAATGGTTATTTATTTGGATATTGTAAAACTCCGTAGTTAATCACAGGAAAACTGAACAAAATCTGTGTAACGTCAGCATAAATAAATACATGTCAGTCCAACAATTTAATAAATGATAATGTAAATAAGAAATCACATGATCAAAACAAATATGAATTTAAATGTTTCTTTATTTTACCTCAATACTTTTTTTATTTACTACTATGTTCATTTCTTTCTCTTTTTCTAATCTTTTTTCATAGCCAGCTATTTCTGAGTACCTTTAACACATTCAGATTTGTTTAAAAAAACATTATCAAAATGTCAAATTTAAGTTTTCTGTCTTGTGCTAAAACATACTTCAAATGTGATATCAGGACGTCCCAGCATGCTGCCAAACCAACTCAATGCTTCATTTATGAACCCGAGTATGGCTAGGAAAGCTATCAAATTTGCAGCAATGTTTGCAACAAGACCTATTGAAGCAGACGCTCCACTGCTAGCAGCCTCCAAGATGTTCTGTTCACCACTGTAGAGTTAACAATTGTATTTTTTATTATTCATAAAAATCATGAAAACGTACGAGAATTTAAGGGACATAATACACACCCAGAAGACACTTTAATACTCTTATCTGACTTTAAGGCACTCTCCTCTGTCTCTGGGTAAGAAAGTTTGGAGATGGCCAAAGCACAAGGAGCAGCCATTACAGAGGCTGAAAGCAAGGCAGACGCATCAATCTGCAAAATAAAAGGAAATGTAATTTAATGCAGGTGTTAGACTTTAGAAGGAGTTCCTGCATTAATAAGAAACAAATACAGTGTTTGGTATTCTGCAATTGAAGTAAACAGAGCCACTGTCAAACGTAAAAAAGTCTAAATTGCTTTTTTATTAAGCATCAACATCAGTGTTATACTCAATATCTAAATGCAGAGCATTTGCAGATTTTTACAGAGAAAGAGCACCATTATGAGGTACACAAATGCAAAACTGATGATGTTAGTCAAACCTATCCCTCGCCCAACCATTATCTTTTCCTGTTTTAATGTTGTTGATGTTGATTTTCTCAACAAATATGGATTGCTGAGACAAGGGGGTGGCTTGAATATGACCTGCTGGCACCTTTCTTCATGTCATCCTCTTTTTTATGTTATTGCCCAGGAGTCCATTGTTTCATAATGTCAACAGGTTTCTCTGCTATCGATCAATTAATTCATTAATAAATCATAGCATTTCAGCTTTTTGAGGATGTGTTTTGGGTGCTTATCAGCAGAACTACTGCAAATGATTAACTTCTCTTTGTTGTTCAGTAACCTTCAAAACCTGTTTTTGTAGATCTTCTTCCGGGACACTCTAGATGGCAGTAACATAAATCACTGCAAATTGCGGTAATTATCCCGCTAGTTCTAACCGGTTTATCTTGAGCTATTAGACTTTATTGGCTCCACTTAAAAAAGTAAATATTTTTGTGGTATGTCCCAGGTTTTTCATTCTGGGCCCCATTAGTTTCTGATCTGAGCCTTGTCTAAAGCCTTGCACATTTTTCAGAAATAGCTGCTCTGTAATAGTTCACAAAGCATAACATTGACTGCTAGCTTGCTTACTAAAAGATCTCTTAGTAACCATAACGTTAGGATAATGAATTGGCAGAGAATCTCAAATGTCTTCTCCTTGGAGAAGCACTTGTTGGCCATGTACTATTTGGCCATTGGCCATTTTAAACTTTAAACCTCTTAGTGTAAGTTTAAGTTTAAACTGAATCACATTTGTAGTTTAATTTATCTACTGTTTTAAAAGAGAAGTATAAATGTTTAATGTTTTTTCTGATATTCTCATCATGAAACCCGCTTTAACCTACAAGCCTTTACATTGATTTACTCCCATACAAAAGATTGTTATTCATGTAGTATTCATATAGATATTCTTTTTCTTAATCATTATTTGTGTATTAACCCTGTATCCAATGGCAATCAAAACGTAATCTCACCCCAAATGAGATGAATGCCCCCATGACACTGCCTGCAATGGTGGCAAATCCACCAGTCATAACAGCATGGATCTCAGAATTGGTCATGTCGATCAAATAAGGGCGGATCAGCAGAGGAGATTCAGTCTAAAGCACAAAAAAGGTAGAGCAAAAGTAAACAACAGAGAAACTGTAGGATGCAGTTAATAATATTTTGTATTCAGTCATGAAACTTGAATCCCAGCTTTCTATGATGTCAAAACGTAATCAGTCAAATGTGAGAGATATAAGTGCAAAGAAATCAAGTGTTGCTCAGAGTACCTGCCCAACAAATATATTGCCCGCCACACTCAAGGTCTCTGTGGGAGAGGTTCCCATCGTTATCTGCATAACCCATGAGATCTGCATGGACAAAAACACATTGCTCTCGTTCATAATATGATTGCAGGCTTAAGTTATACAACCCCAGACCTTTGCTGCCGTGAGCAATACGTTTAATCTTTCTTTACCTTCAAAATGAGCCACTGCATTATTCCCAAATAGTAAAGGATTGACATCACGCTGCTGAAGAACACAACAATGGGCAAAGCCTGAGGAAGAAATCACCAAATTAAATTATAACATGTTCGATTTTAATAAATTGAATATTGGTTTAGTGCCAATATATAACTCAATGTCACAACTTACTTGAAAGGCAAAGATGTTATCGATCAGATCCCCAAAGACAAAGCGTGACCCTTCTTTGGTATAGTCAAGGAATATCTGTAAACATGACAAAGAAAACATGAGTTGCATTATTTCAAATGACTGTTTATTTTCTCAATCCTTTCATCCACTCTTAATTTTGATTTGGTAATAGGAAGTCTTTGAACTAATTGGGCAACCACACATTAAAAAGTGACATGCCTGTCTCACATTGTGCTGATTTCACCCTTAGATGACCCAAAATGAGGCTGAATAGCACCATAAAGTAGCTCTAAAGATAAGCATATACATTACATTACATTGCATTTAGCTGACGCTTTTATCCAAAGCGACTTACAATAAGTGCATTCGACCAAGAAGATACAAACTTGAATATACGATCCACTCAGTAAAAGAATAGTGTTTCTTGGTGGATAAGTAACGATGTAAATACATGCAAAGACTGATGGGCAAACCAGGAGTGATTTCATAGTAACACTACTCACTTATGAGTTGAAAATAAACGTTTTAGGATGTTATTAAAATGTATGGTATTTGTATTTGACATTTCTGATATAATACTTGAGAAAGCAAGATAGGACTATAAACCATGATGAAGCCACACACATCTACAAAGGTTTAAGGCTTTATATACCTGCACTTGATTTCCAAGCCATTTGAACGCTATGTTCCCAGGCGTTGTTCTTATTACAAAAAGACCAATGCAGAACTGCAACCCGAGACCCCAAAACACAGGCCTCCATGACACCTAAAAGATTTTCAAAAAGGAAATGGTTAGTGACTGTATCAGGGAGTTGCCAGAAAACCTTATTATTATTATTGTTATCGCAAGAAAGCACTTCTGCTAAACCCTAAGATGATATGGGCACAAGGCCAATTGATATCAAATGTATCAGCAAAACAGACAGAGATAACTTGAGCAATAACTCCAGAGCATGTTTCGAAACAGTTCTCAGTGACAATGCATCCTTGAGCATAAATTCAGTGGTTGACTCAATGCAGAACTCACCGCTGTCCTGTGT